CCCGTTTGCCAGTCAATGTCACCACAAACACTTTCTTGACCAGATTGAGTCTTTCACATGCACTGAGTCCGAGGATTGGCTGTACACTCTTATCCACGATCAGTAGCTGTGTCTTGATCCGACGTCCTTTGTTTTTAAAGGTTGCTATGCAGCTTCCTTTCACAGGTATGGTCTCACCTGTGTATCCCGTCACTTTGATCTTTACAGGATGGATCTCACTCTTAACGGTCAGTGTTCTATAATCCTGCATAGATAGTAGATTTACCTGGGCCCCAGTATCGAGCTTGAATGGTATTATAGTCTCATTGACCTCAATCGGCACAATCCATTCAGCTTTGTCCGTACCACACGTCTGGACACTGTCCACTACAAAATCTTCCTCCACTAGAGAATCATCATCCTCTTCTTCCACTACGTGGACTTTCTTTTTTGTTGACGTCGCTTTGCAGCATCTGGAGAAGTGATTGTTTTTTCCATAGTTATTACACAACTTGCCATAAGCTGGACATGACTTGGGTTTGTGACTGTTGCCACATTTACCACACTTAAACCCAGACCATTTCTCACTTGCATCTTTTTGTTTGTTAAATGACTTTCCTTTCTGCTCCTTTTGTACAACATGCACAGCTGTTTCTCCTCTACGCAGCTCACTGGCCTGCGCATGTGTTGTCTCTGCTGCTCTACACATGGTTACACATTTCTCTAATGTCAGTCCTGTCTCACGGAGCAGTCGTTCTCTGAGTACATTATCGTAAGTTCCGCAGACTATTCTGTCTCTGATTAGTGAGTCCTTCAGAGTCCCAAACTCACATGTTTTGCTGAATGTGTGGAGCTCAGCTAAATACTGATCAAAAGGTATGCCTTGTGTCTGGTCATGGGTAAAAAAACTTATACCGCTCAAACGTGACATTTTGACTTGGCACAAAATATTGTTCAAACTTGGTCATAAGTGTGTCCAAGGTTAGGGTGGCTTCATCTAACTGAAAGCTATTATATATGTCCAGAGCATCTTCTCCAATAATATGCAAAAAGATGGATGCTTTTAATTTCTCATCATTGCCTCCTGCTCCACTTGCTGCCAAGTAGATTTTAAATCTTTGTTTAAACCGTTTCCAATTATCTGCTAGGTTACCAGTCAATTGCATGCACGATGCTGGATTCAGCCTGACCTTATCCATGACAACAGGTCTGTGTACCGGTATTTCGGCCACTTGAATCTCTTCTGGTTCGTCGTTTTCAGGAGCTATTTCAGCCTCCACGTGTGGCGAATCTTCCTCGTCTTCGTCCACAACACTAACGTCTTCTCCGTCACTTTCGGCCATGCCATTTCACTCAATACACCGGAGCTAGCTATACTTTTCAAAGCTAAAGCTATCCGACGCCACCGGCGACTTTTCAATGCAGCAAACTTACTTCCGCTTTTTAACGTGCCACTCGTTGCAAACCGTGGCTTCTCTTTTCTTCCGTGTTCACTTGCAAACGACCACTTCTGACACCATGTCGTATCTGTTATATTCTAGCTGTTGAACAGATGAGGCGTGTTGAATAAACTTGTACTTTATTGAATGTCGTTTGCTACAGCATGTTCAGTCCTCCAACCATACTCTGGTTACCCCTGGTTCTACTGCGCATGCCTAACCAAGCATTGTGGGAACTAGAGTTCTTATGTGATTAATGCATAACATCACAGTTATAGCAGTAATATTTTTGTAATATTAAAATATTTCCTACTGACATGTTAATAATAATGATAATAATAATCATCACTTTATTAATCCCCGTGGGGAAATGACCTTTTATGCCTCCCTCAACTTGCCTTTTGTAGAGTAATTAAGTTGTCCACTTGTAGTGGCGACCAAGGATAATTATTTAAAAAACGTAATAGCAACGTTTTCTTTGCGTTCGTCAGGATCTATACTACTGGTCACTATTACAGTAATTAGCTGTAAATTACTATAATGGGGTGCTTCATATAAGAACACAAGAACTATACAAACGAGAGGAGGCCATTCGGCCCATCGAGCTCGCTTGGGGAGAACTTAACTAATAGCTCAGAGTTGTTAA